TATAACTTTCTCAACTTGGGACGCCATTATTGTCGTCAATGAGAAAACGTGAACAACGAGAACAAAGATCACCACTTATCGAGCATTTTTTGATCATTACGTGAATCGTCACAGCTAAGAAATAAAGTTAATTTACATCATATACAAATCGGTATATCCTACAAATTTCACTGACAGTTTCGTGCTGTTTCAACTTTTAAGGGGGACATCAGCTAATCTAAACTATACGAATTCTAGTCGAATTCGAAATCGGAATCAGCAGCAAGTCGCTCGGCACTAAGGACTCTATCCTGGCCTATCTACAGGCTGCGGCATCGAATCTCGTCCCGACGCTCTCGATTAACGGCCAGATTGGATCCTAGCCCCGGATCGCCCCGGGTACAGATGCATCGGTTCGATCCGCTGCCATTAATTTCATCTCCGGCTCTCCTGATTACCTTGCGCTTCCCGGATTACTTGGCTCCACCGAGCCCACAGATTCCCGTGCAAGCCGAAAGAATCCTCGAACGCTTGGTCTGACCATAGACTTATTGTAACTACTAGCTCAAGTTTCTCACCGTCTTAATCTTTATCCTCTTAACGCTGCAATCTAAAGTTGCAGGAGCGACTTTGATTGCTTTATTTATTTTAGCGATTAAAGTTAGGTAATTTAAACAATATGTATTAAAAACTATATAATAGTACAATATGTTTTGTATGAGCAATATACCAAATATATTTTGTTAGCAATTTTTTTAAAGCAGCAATCATGGATATTAATTTTGAAAAAATGAATTTCTTTACTATATTTTGTCTAGTATAGCGAATTTGATCATTAATCTAAAAAAAGCTGAATAATTTACGCAAAATACTGGTAATTATTTTGTACATTTTTTAATTTTTAAAATGCTTTAATTTTCTATGACATATTGTACATATATGATACATATATGATTTATGTTAATTATAAAATTTATTATTCTTGCAAAATTAGTACGATGAAAAATGAAAAATGCATTGATTTTTATAAAATTTATTATTATTATATGCTTTTGTATATAATGGCACTGATACCTCTTAAGAGATTGAGCTATTGTATTTTTATTGTAATATATTATATGAAGTTATATAAAATTACCATTGCACATAAATTTAAAATAAATTTCTATTTGCAAAATATTTTATTGAGCATATGAATAAATAGCTCTAATTGAATTAATCAAATTGAAATAAATGATATGTTATATTATGTATGATAAATTTTAGTAATACTCACAGGAATTTTGGGAAATCTATCGACTCTTGATTTGAAGACTGCATGATATACCGGACGTTTTCCTTCATCTGTTATCTTGTGTTTATCGATTAACAGATATTCACCATCATCTCTTCTTAATGTTAGTGTTTCGCAAAACTTCAGATAATCAAACATTTTTTTATATTTATTTTTAAAACGCTTTGCAGATTCAAAAGCCAAATTTCCGACATCTGTGTGGTAATCTGCAGGTCCTGCAACCTAAGCTTTTGTAATTCTACTACAAATTTACATATGACGTGCATATTATGTGTAAAAATTATTTATATAACATATACCTGGCGTTATCACTTCAATGATTTTTTTGAAACGATCGTCTAAAGCTCCAAAAGGTGCACGAAGAATAGAACCGTAACAAGTTTGCAGAGTCGCGATCTCGTATGCTCCAGGTCCAGGTGTATCTGATTGAAAAGTCTCTTCAAATCTCTTCAAAGAAAAAGTACTAAGTCATAATTATGTTGTAATAGTTGATACAAATACGTGAAAATGTACCTTTGCAGTTTGACCGAAAGGCGGTAGTGCTACCGTACGAGGGTCACATTTACACGGAACAAGTCTGTATTTATCGAACACACTTTTTGGTAGATCATAATGATTGGGAGCTGGAAAGTTCTTTGTGGAAAAGCAAATTTCCATAAGGCGATTCAGAAATACAAAAGCAGTTTCTCGGCTCGGAGTTTTCGCGAAAGAACCGGCGATTGCAAAAGTTACAAAGCATGTTCTTAAAATTACTTGGCGTAATTTTTGCTGGTACAAAGCTTCCAAGAAACGCGGCTGCTTAGCGGCAGTTCTTTTCGCTTCCCTAGTTCTCTCGTCGTGGATTTGGGCGGTACTTTTCTTTGTTTTGTGCTCGTAGTCACCGGGACCCGGGGTCACGGAAGTCCGTTCGTCATCTCTACCCTTCATTCTGCTCCAAAAGTTTCCTTTGTACTTCAGAGTGGTAAAGTTTGTCTCCTACGGTATAAATAATCGTTCGCGAGGTATTGTATTTTATAAGCGAGAGTTACGGTATCTTATTCGTACCCCTCGTGGAACATTGTAGAAATCTGTTGGCTTATGCTCGATGACCGGATTCTTTACAAGTATGCCTCGTTCGTCGTAGTCGTACCCGCCGGTGTCACGTTTCGAAGGAACAGAAAGACCTCCCGTACTCATCGGCCGTGGAGGACGGATTAGCCATAGCTAATAGACAACTATCTTTAAATATTTCATCGTTATGATTAAAAACAAAAATATTTAACTGCACATCGAAACTATCAAATCAAAGAATATATATCTTTTAAATGACAAACGAATTATTCTTGCAACATTATGCAAATATTTTATATAACGTTAGCTTCCTGATTTCAAAGTTTACACACAAAAAAAGCGACATATCTTCTTTACGATAATTTTTATTATTTTTACGCACTTTTACTATTTGCGGGAGATTAGAATAGAGATATATGAATATACTTCACTTTGCCCGCGGCCGAACGCCGAGTGCCGGGATGGCGTTCTATTTTTCGAGGCGTTTCCTTAAACAAATTACTCGGCAAAGTATAGCTGGCTGGACTCGGTCCATCACACACCTTTTCTTTAAATCTAATGTCGGTATAATCGAGACTAACGCCACCCTGTAAATTATTGAATCTAAAAGAATATCGAATATCCACGTGTTGTATGCTGATGCCAAGCGCACGGAAGAATTGCAAATAAATGAGGCATGAATAGGGAAAGTGCACGTTCTGGTATGCGTTTCCGCGGCGCCTCTATATTGTAAGAGCCGGGACCTGGAAACTTATGCGCGTCTTTTGGTATGCCGAGTGTCTGCCTGCTGGCTCCGCTCAAAAATGGATAAGCGTTGTCTGTGGAAGATTGTATGTGTAACGTAATGTCATAAACACGACGCGAGCAAATGCAAGTTTCACGGAAGAATTCACGGATGTGTTCGCGTTGTAAGTAACCTGGATCTCGAGCTGGCTTTGATGGATCCGTTGCGTCGTAAGTCGCCGGACCCACTCGAACAATCGACGTGGCTATTTCCACGAATCTTTTTGTCCTATCAAACGCCATGTCTCGCGTGTACACGACTGAGAAAAAAAAATATTCAAAGTGCACTATGCGATTTATAACCTAAAATGGATATAGCTTCACGTTCAAGAACATATCACGATCGAAAGAGATAAAACAAATGTAAAGTTTAAATTTTTTTAATCGATCGGGATTGTAACGCATGCGATAATAATATCTTCCGTTCTTTTCTGCATTTATATATATATATAATATTTGAAATTTATTTATTTATTTATATAATATTTGAAATTTATACATTTATAATTAATGATTAACGAAAAATATATTGTATATACTTATAAATACGTCATAAAGAAGATAAGAAACGATATTTTGAAAAAAATTATGTCATAGAAAAAAATGTATGTGAAGTTTAGTCTTTTTTATTTCAATTTTTTATTAAATGTGAAGCGATTCGACGATTGACACAAAATAATAAAAGAATTAATGGAGGATTTATCGAGAAAGAGAAGCAATGAGTCTTGCATGTTTGTTTTCATTTAAGTAGTTCTTGGATTTTTCCATCGCATGTTGTTTCGCTGCATGCTTCCTCGAATTACCTAGAATCGTCGGCAAAAGCCACGTTTCCTTCCTTTTTTTCTCTTTCTTTCTGTCACCCGTCATTCGAGGATTTAGAGGACATTAAGTTAAAACAACTTGTGCACCGAGTTGCTCTTTATCTGATTTCGACGAAATGATTGGCGAAAATCCTATAAAAAGTTATGTTACTGATATTACTGTAACTTTTTTGCTATGGGGAAAATATGACATGATGGCAATTTTTAATTTTTCGCGCATCTAGATAATTGCATATTGATTATCTATCAAATGCATGAATGTAAAAATAGATAATATCTGCAACATAATGTATATTATAAAACAAGCAATTTAAAAATATGATAAAATTTTTTTTAATAAAATAATCTCGCGAAACTATTTAATGTCAATCTAACAATCAATGTTATATCGAAATTCATGCAATCATCATTAAAATTATGCGGTTTCTTAAATTGGGTAAATATGCAATATAACGCTTTCTCTTCCGATTTTCGTGTAATTTTGTGTGTGTATTGCATAGAATAGATTCTAAGAAGGAAAATCGTTTCTCAAGTCTCATTTTTTTTTCTTTTTAATTTCAAAGTTTTTTAATATTTGAAATCAGTCCATATGAAAGAAATGAAAAAGATATAAATTTTGAATTGTGAACTAGTCTCTGCTATAATTTAAATAAGAAAATAATTCGTGTTTTTAATTAATTAAAATAGGAATTGTGGTAAATATACTATAAATTTAAAAAAATCGAGAGCGACGATTTTCTTTCTCAAAATATATACATGTACAAATAATACAAATATACAAATATATACATAATTCTACACATGAAAATACACAAATTTACAAAATCAAAAGAGAGAGCATTACATTATATATTTATTTTAAATTGTCCAAAATAATCCAAAATAATATATTTTTTAATTATGTTTTTATTTTACTTAAGATATATATATATTCAAGAATTGTTTAAAAAAAAGGAAATTTATAATTAAATATTTTATATTATTAAATTTTTTATATTATTAAATATTTTTAAAATATTAATGGTCGATATGCGATATCGACTGATATCAAAGTATTGTTGCTGCTGCGCCGTCAGAGTACGTTACTAGTATCACTCGGCTGGTCGCGTTCTGATTAGGTCGATAATTCCAGATGTTTCCATGTGAAAACGTGATGTCGTGATCTAACAACAAAACTGTGTTACTGTTGCTACGGTTAGCGATAACGAACGTTCAACGAAGGTGACGTGAATTATTACAGCCTGTTTCTTGCAAAGTGAATTATAATACGAGTGAATATCGAGGAACAATGACGAAGACCGAGGAACAATTCGATGGTATGTTGCTGGCATTGGCACAGCAACACGAAGGCGGTGTACAAGACGTAAGTGTCGATTCATTATTGGAGGTTAACTTCGCACGATAAGATATTTGTATTTTACTGGCTGAAAGAATATAATTTTGTTTTTTATTTTTAGTTGTTGGACACTTTCTTTAGTTTCTTGGCAAGAAAAACAGACTTTTATATCGGAGGTGGCGAAGGGGCAGCTGAAAAGGTAATTGTTTGCATATATGGAAAGTAACAATGATATAATATTTCTAGACTGTTATTCTGCAAAATTTTAATTCGATCATTAAATTTTTTCTTTTATGTGCAGCTTGTTATGAGTAAATTCAAGAAGCATGAAGCTAGTGCTCTTGCCAAAGCTGCTTCTGACAAAGCAGAAAGAACGGAGCAAGAACGAAGACGTAAGGAGAGACTCGAGAAGAAGAGAAAAGAGGAACAGGCTGAAGAGGAGAAGATAGATAACGATTCTAGAATAGTTGAGTTAACCGATGAACAAGCTGTTAAATTACAAGAAGAAATAGACAACAAGGTATTTATAATATGAAGTATCTACTGTTATTCTATATATTCTATGTATTGATTGATCGACATATAGAATATTTATTCACTATATAAATTGTGATAATATTTAAATTATTTTTTATCACACAGAAATTAGCAAATGATACTGCTGTTGCGGGATCTAGTAACAACAGTGCTAAGAAAGATGAAAATACTGATTCTAAGAATGGCAATGTATCTGATGAAGAAGAAGATGAAAAAGAGAAAAATAAGCTGAAGCCTAACATCGGTAATGGTGCAGACATGCCGAATTATAGATGGACACAGACTCTTGGAGAAGTAGAGGTAAGTACTTTGTCTTATATTTTATGTGTGACCGACTACACATGTGGCGTTGAAACATTTTTTAAGAGAACATTTGTAAAGAGATTAGAAAAATAATTTTTAATTTCTCATTCTGTATAACTTATTGTGTACTTAAGCACAAAACAATTAAGCTTTATTTTAATTATTTTAATTTGTTATTAAATTCGATATGATGTAAAAATAGATGATTAATATTTATAATTGCGTAATTATAATTAATATCTAATTGATACTTTAAAATAAGAAGTTTATATATGAACATATAGATATTTTTGTTTTTAAAAATTTAAATAGATGTGTATAAACAGAAAAACAAGCAAATTAAATTCAATGTATTTATTTTGATGTCAGTAATTGAGTTATAAGTGAAAATATTTATCGAAATGAATGAATATCAAACTTGGGTGACTAATGAGAAAGAGATTACGATACTTACTTCATGATATTATACTAGTCTATAGCTATTGTCACATGCAAATATTAGATCAATATGCAAGGCAGGTTGAAATGAAACAATATTCAGTATAGTTCAGTATATTTGACAGTTTCTTGTTGAATCGACGATTAATTAATACGCATGTAATATCACAGACGCGAAAAGCGATCGACGCGACCGCTCCTCATTGCTTTTCCGTTTACATTTGCCCCCGGCATAACAATCCGACGGAAAATCCAGGAATGATTAAGGTAGCTTGTTGGTAAAAATTAAGTTACAGGCCCTAAATAGATATTTGCTATCTTGGTCCCATCTCGTCGATTGCTTTTGAACTGTCCGTCGGTATTTGTTATTCAAAATACTATCAGATTCGAAATTTCGTTGGACGACTAGGATTAGTGACACTGCAGTGATATGTTATCGTACCTTTCCCTCTTCATTGATTCTCGATAATAACGATGCGATTTATAATAATCGATAAATCGGTTGAGAACCAAGTAGAAGACGCACCGCTATGCGAAAAGTACATTTTACTTGGAGCAGTCGCGGATTCTATGTGTCACTATCGTCCGTAACCCTTTACCACATGTATCTTTCTACGCGAAAAAATATGCGGCGTGCAGAGAGGTGTCATAACCACACGTAAAACAGTGAAGAAATTTTAGAGAAAGTTGTTTGTGCTCTACATGACACGCGCTACGCGGTAAGAAATTAATTAATATAAAATATTATTCGTCGAATCGTGTCTCGCAGTACGCGATCCGAAGAATCCAGTTAAAATCCAGCATAAATACGCTACAAATACGCTATCCCATCGCAAGGATCGTCAATCCCTTAACAGTACGTCGCTCATTACACAAATGTAATTACTGGTTTTCACGTACCACACTTTTATCGCGGTGCAATACAGTTATACGCTTAAAACTCTAACCGTAGCCGAGAATGTCTACTGACAAACGCAGATATACGTATACATATAAATATAAGTAAATCGAATTAGTATTCGTGACTCTGGATCGTGCGTTTTCTCTCTTCCTCTTGCTCTCCATGGAAACGATCTTTCCGACTTCGTTATCTTTATGATAATCATCATTCACAGTCGATATATCATCGCCACTTCTTCTTCTTCACGTTCTTCATCCTCGGCCTAATTGTACTTGTCACGAGCCCTCACTGTAATCAGAGATAAATATCAGTGAGGAAGTTCCGTGGATAACGAATCCGCGGAGATCGCACGCGGTGTTGAGAAATGCAGTGGATGTGGCAATAGTTTCGCGCGGCAACTGCGGCGATGACTGTTGCCGCTGCAACCATGGAAGATACTCACTTTCCATGTAAAGGATCCCGGCGAGCAGACCGACCATGAATAGAAGACTCATGGTGCACACGAGAACGGTGAGCTGATTTCGCGCGCACCAGGACTTCCTGTAGACGGTGGTCGGTCTGCCGAGACCGTTCACGACCGTGAAGTGAGTGCTGCTTGCCACCGAGGCGGTGTCCATCTGCTTCGGTGCCGTCACCGTGGGCGGATGTATGGCGGCGAGATTCGCCAGATTCGCGGCTGTGAGTAGTAACGTTCCCGACGCGGCGCTCTGCAAATCGCACCACCGGAAGAGACCGTGAGACAGAAAGAAGATTCAGGGAGATTCGATTACAATCTTGCAAAAATTGATCTCAAATTTTTTACACAGTAAACACAGTAAACACAGTCGCATTTTAATATTAGAACAGCATTCCAAGTTTATCGTAAACGCAATTTCTACGTGTAATTTAATTCGTAAAATTTTATCGTTACCGTCAAACGCGTTGGATTTGCGGTGAAGTAAAGTAGCTTTTTAGGATTTGCATCGGAATCCTGGGCTTTTAACTTAATCGAAAAAAACCAGATTTTAATTTTAATTTAAAATTAAGCCAATTTTAATATTTCTGCAAGCGAATGAAGGAGACGCGAGATTTACGTGTGTACTGGCGGTGGATCCTTGAGACGACGTCGACCCTCTCGAGGGGGAGTTCGGATGCAAGTGATGAGCCCAGCTTCCATTTTCGCTGTCCCTCTCGCTACGTCCGACCAAGGACGGCCTTGGGATATGCCAGGAAAGCGGGTTGTCGGCAGCTACCGCCGTTGTTGTTGCCACTGCCGTCGTCTCGATCTGAAACCAACGTAAATCGACGTGAAGCTTCGATTGCATAAGCGATAATGCCATGCCAATTGCACTTCTACTCTCTCGCCGCCCGCATGTCCTCCATCTGCGACCGCGTGCCGTTTATCTGTTGCCAGTAAACATTACTCTACATATAGCTATGTAAGGTACTCATCGGTGAGCGCATTAAAAGCACATTTAAATGGAAAGATTTTTGGACGAAATTTAACAGGTCATCGAGATCGTTTTATTGCACTGACAATTAAATCAACTCGCACACTGTGACGCGAAAGAAAAATCAACGTATGACGTAACTTCTAACAGCAAATCGAGATTGACTTCTTATTGGCACGATTGACCCCATTTTTCACATTTTCCATACAAATCTATCTTTTCAGTTTATTACCCGGAGGGGAGAGGGGGTATTTATCCGATTTGTCTCACCTCGTCTCGCCTTTAAAAGATCGTTGTAATTAAGTTTTTGTTTTAACATAGATACTTTATGTAATAGTAAAAATAATATGAGCACTCAAGTGCGAGCAAATTGAATTGGATAAGTATCATGAATGTCATTTAAGTCCCTATACTTTCTCTAGTGCTACTAAAGCAAGAGTCAGTTGTGACTCAAAGTATCACAATGTACGCAATTTTTATATTAAGAAACAATCTGGGACGGGATGCACGATACGTGCTTATTATTAATTGATTAATTGAACGTTGAATATGCCGCCTCCGCGCGTCCATATCGCTATCGTCTCCGCGTCGATTTCATCATGCGGGCCTCATTCAAAAATCTGTCGTACCGTATTTTTTTCACCGGTCGGACACCCAAAGCGCGCGCGGCATCAAAGCGGGACGATGGGATATCGCGAAAGCATCTTCTGCTCCCACTCTTCCTTCCTGCGAGAGGAAGATTGACGAGAATTTCGGCGTCTCCCGGGGGCGTGGAGCACCTCGACATTCCGGTTTGATCGTTGCATAACGCTCGTTGCGCTCTCGAATTCCGCGCGCCGTCGTCGCTTTGCGCGTGTCAAGTCCGTCGTTGTTTTTGTTCTCGTCCTTCGCGCAGAGAGATGCGACGAAATTCACCGTTGTCGACATCGTTCCTTTCTCGCTTCCTTCCCGTTGCTTCGTTTCTAAACGCGTGTCTGGACCCTTGTAGAGCTGTTGTATCTCGAGATCGTACGCACAGCTGGACATTTCCGCGACTTTGCGGCCTGATGAAGACGACGCAACGCGACGCGACGGGACGCGACGCAACGCGGGGGCCATGTCGCGTCGTGTTTACATACGCATGCCGATTACGCCAGTTAATTGGCAATTTTCGCACGTAAATCAAGTGCATTTCGCACCGGTGTGGCCTACCTTCGCGAGCGGGCGCCGCCCAAGGACTGCGCTCGCTGCAATACTGAACGAGTTTGCGCGTTCTTTTTCGTCCCCGACGTCGGTTTTTCAGACGCGCACTCGCGCTCGTCCCGGCCCAGGCGACGCTAATGAAACACCGTATATTTGTTCCTGCGTAATGCACATTATCGAGCAAATAAAGAAGATTAATTGATTTAATTGATCTATTGGGGCCAATAACGCGCTAAGTCATGCACTACAGGGAGTAAACCGATGCGAGACTTGTATATTTATTTACAGCACTGATTATCGTTCTCGTGAAAAAACAGCTTGCCTTGTCTTTAGAAATGAGAGTACATTAAGAGTTCAAAGGTTACAGGGAAGGATATTAAATCTTCTTAACGAACCGTTTTTTTACGTGCTCGTCTATTGAATTTTCCTCATGCACCTTAATGATATCGACTTTAATTATATACAGATTCGAGTTTATTTTAAACCATTGCTCTCGCTATATAAACGATCGTGCCAAATTAGGTGTGTGATAACAAGGGGCATATAAATTACGATGCGATGTGATTGATTTATTGCACTCTCCTCAAACTCGCATATCATTAGTCTATAACCATGCACATCGTCATTATAATAAAAATGGTAACTCATTTGATAAACTCATTTGTTATGTTTATTGCTCTTTTAGAAAAATTTTATTCTCTTTATCAAATAATAAAATTTTCATGAGCATCGTAAAATCTGTGCCATTGTATATAAAGATAGATACAAGATTGGACGTTGACATTTCGCGAAATATGTCGCGTATCTGGATAAACATCTCTAGAGTATAAGGAGAGCAAACGTCGAACAGATCGGGGATTTCATGATGAAATCATCGAAGTCACGACAGAAACAGGTATAATTCTTTGCGAGTCAATATCTCAAAAATCATCCGTTGTGTGCGAGAGCGAAAGGTGGGAGAGACGCGAATATTCGGAGATAGAAGATAAAAGAGAGATAGAGAGAATGGCGACATTTACGGTGAGGAGTCGTTAGGAATTTTTGTGGAACTCAATATACTGGTCAGCCTCGAAGTGCCGCACCTGTGCCATACCCATGTAACATGATACCTGAAACGGATTTTGAACTCTGTATGTGGTTTTGTCTTTAACAGATGTCAAATCCAATTGTTTTCGGAAGAGACTGCACAGCGTTTATTTTGTTTTCAATAGATATTTATTATATTGAAAATTGAACGTAAACTATCTTTTCAAGAGAAAAATGAAAGATGTATTTGATAAAAGATTAATCGTATTATAAAAAGATTTTTCATCCTGATTTTTTTTAATTCTGAATATAAACATGATATCTTTTATCTTTATGATATATCAAATGCAATAGACTATGTGAAATTAGTATTTACATTCATATCTATATTTACATCTACATCCGTTTCTATTTACATTAAAATTTACATTCAGTATACAATTCGTATTCACGATGCGTTTCAAGAAAAGTTTCCGCGATTAATATTCTAAATGATCAAAACAAGTGTGAAAAATCTTGCGATTTCTAAATTCCAATTGTTCATCGTGCGTGAACAATATTTCTCATTTTTATCCTCTAAATGGAAAACTCTAATATTGTTACGGTTCCGAATTTCTCATTTCTTTGAAAAATAAACAATATTTCAAAAGTTTAATTAAAAAATAATAAAAATTAAATTAATTCTGATTGAAAATCCAATTTTCGTAGCACTTTATATTTTCCCTATTTTTTAAGTTTGTAAAAAACATATCAGAAATTTGAGAGTTCTTTGGGAAAGAAATCGAAAGTTTGAAAATAAAGTGCTAATATTTTTAACAGAGGTATCAAGATAATGTTAACCGAATTTACGTAACGATCGAAAAAAACGGTAACGTGCACGTTCCTTTTCATTGGTACTCGAAAAGATAATACCGCGCGCGCGCGCAGAGAAATTTTGCTCGGAATGTCCTTGGTGTCTGTGTGATTAAAGTATGGCATTAAGTTTGATATCGGTGCATATGTTGGACATTATGAAAATGCACGCTCAGCCCACGATACTCCATTAATTGCGTCGGCAATCTTTTAAGGCGACGCTATTCGTCATTTCCGCCATATCCTCGGATAATTACGTTGTCATCGTGCGAACTTGTCGCTCCAGCTTTTCGAGAACGTAATAAACACGATCTTGTAAAAAAAGTGAATTTTCTCCCATTAATGCAATAAAAATGAATACATAATTATGAACGGAATCTTATCGCACTTGGAGCAAGGCTCTTCGCTTTAGAAAAAAAATTTTTCTGTTATTCATCAAGATTGTCGGACTGTGTTAAATGGGAACGCAGTGATCACAGGACAAATGTCAAATGCCGTAAAACTTCTTGCGCGGTATTAAATGGTTAATAACGGTGGTTATAACGTCAATGCCGCATATGGTACTGTCGTAATCATCGTTATTGTCCACCTCTAATGTAAACGTCCTCATTAAAAGACGGCACTCGGTGTACTTGCCATTAACGAAGAATCCCTACCATCACGCGTCCTGCAACGGCGGAACGGTAGTGTCCGTAATGAACGTTACATTATGCTTTTTTTCTGCCCGTTGTTTCTCTACGGCTCTATGAATAATCCATTGACATTTCATCAAGTGTGCACCGTTCATTCTTTTGACATTCCGTTATTGTAAGCGACCCACGGAGTTTCCTTCGCGATTGTATCGTGTTGCCTTTTTCCTGTATTACGTAAGGGCTTTGGGTAAGGAGAGGCCGACAGCGCGCAAGTGGAATTCAATATCGCCATAGGGCATATAGATTGACTCATTAATCGGCGGCACGTTGCACGATCACGGGCGAAACTTTCGATATTGAAGACGCGTCCACGTCATTCTACACCTAAGGGCATATTTCCTCGTTATCGATGTGACCCCCCCCTCCCTCCCCCCCCGATAGTCCCGATTTCGCTCGTACGTAGCGAACGAACGTCACCTCGCCGGATGCGTGAACGCTAATGAGCGTAAAAAGAAATATGTTACAAGGTAGCGATAACAAACATCGCCATGCGACCTTGCGCATTTTGAGATGGATTACTTTACACGATCGTCCGCCGATCGTCCCGATCTCTATCGAATCGATCGACGGACTCGCGGAAGAGACAACTTATTCACCATGCAGCACTTGAGGCGCACTTCATAACTTTTACCATTATAATTATATATTGATGCGTATATATTTTTCACTTACATGCGCAGCTACACGCTCGCAAGTCACTGCATCGTAAAATTGGCCGTACTTTCAAATACGCACGAAGCGAGAAATAAATTACGAAATGTCTTCAAAGGAAAATTATATCACGGAGGATATATCGATGATAAATCTCGTTTAAAATATTCACGATTGAGATACAGCAAATTCAGACTCAATTTTCTCTTCGTGACGGCACGTAACGTCGCTTTGCAATAAAAACTTCATCAATATTTAAAAATATTTAACTACAGTTCTCACAGCAATATTGCATCGATCGTTTAACGTCCTCGGCCCTATCAATAATATTTTTTCTTTTATAACATTTGAAATATAAATTTTATGATATTTGAAATATAATATTCATATGATTGTACTTAATGAAGAGTTATTTATGTAAGTTTATATAAA